TATTCAAAATATAACCACCGGCACAACAGCATAGAAGTCGGAAAGTAGTTAGTATCGTAGAAACTCAATCGATAATACAGTTGATCTTGAATCTGAAGTACAACAATTTCATCATAACGTTAACTTATATCAATAATAAATATCACATGTTAAACTTTTTTAAATTGATTCCAAAGAAAACATATACACTTAAATTCAAAAAATTTCAAAAATATTCACGCATTACACTACATAATCAATAAAATATCTGATAATTTTAATATATATATCACGTATTGAGAAATGTTGTTTTCATTGTTTCAATGCAGAAAATATAAAAATAAAATTATGTACCACATATATTCTTGATTATTCAATATGTAGTCAAAAATACTGAATGACCAAAGTATTAATTCACTAAAATATAAATATATGCAATTTAGAATAATGTTCAACAATATAAATTATATCTCGAGTTCAAAATCAAATATTAGCAAATAAATCTTAATAAATTAGTTTGAGCTTGCGTAATTGACTGTCAAATTAGAAAAAAAAAGGATTTTGCATAAATTAGCGACTAAATAAATTATATTCTAATAAAAAATAATACACTAATTGATTTTCTGCGTATAGCGGACTGAGTTGGCTTTAAAGCACTAATGACATTTATTGTAAATTATTTGATATTTAAACTGAAATTTACATTTCTTTAAACAAAGTACTTTGGAACTTTACAAACACTTGTTATAGGTATGGGCTTTGAAGAATATGTGTCCCCTGAAACTAACTCTGGTAAATTAGTGATTGTGTCCCATTTGCAATTACAACTACTATTGGGATTTACCCAATAAGTTAACACCGTGTTCGGATTTTTAACAACAAATAATTTACCAGCAATAAAGAGAGGCCATTTTACAGAAGGACTTATTTCTTTCTTTGATTCGTATTTGGTGTAGTGGACTCTTCGGTAACAGTTAATACATTGAATACTACAGGGAACTGCTATTTCCTTATCTACGAGCAAATCACTCAAACTTATGCTAGTTCGAGTCTTAAAATTAAATTTTGTTGCTCCAGAAGAATAATGAACAAATATTATGTCTTCATTTATTGTCACTGCTGAAGTGTTATTTGCAATGGGTAGAGAATATTTTGAAATACCAGGTGATATTTCCAACCATATTCCCATGTCGTGAATAAAACTCAGGCACATAATATCGTTATTTTCCGATGATCCGAAAACGAGAATAGTATCATTCTTTGATACAACTGCAAAGACGTTAACACTGAAATATTCTCTGACATCTGGTAAATCGTCCTTCCATTGGTTGGTTACGGCGTCATATAAAGCCATCCAATCTCTGTGTACGACAAAAATGTAGTCTTCTGTAGCTGCTATCTTTGTCTCAGCGTCAAGTTCATGGCAGATCATTGACTTTTTCTGGATGAATTGTTTTAGATTTGTTCATGTAGTACAATGTATTTCCAGTGAGGGGACACAACTTGCCGTTGAAGTTGATTATCTGACTGCATTCTAGCTTCAACAAAATCGTAATATTATTTGCAGTCTTTGATGCTAAATCAAATAGAGCAATGTGACCATCGGAATACAAAAGAGCAATGTAATACATGCTAAAATCTGGTTTCTTTTTAAAAACTTCATCTAAAATTAAATTCAAACATTTGGGATTTTCTTTGACCAATTTGTTATTGACGATAACATTTTCGATGAATGTACTTGGGAGGTTTTCAAATTTGATTGTTTGCATAAAGTCTGCTAGAAATGATTTTTGCACGGCCGAGTCGTGTTTAATCCAAGTAATACTTGCGAACCATTTCCACTTTTCATTTGTCAAATACTCTTGTTCCTCATCCACGAATATTGAAATGAGCTCCTCTTTAGTTTGTAGTTTAAAATCGTTCTGTCTCGAAAGTCCAGCAAAATGTGACGTTTTAAATTTGGGAATCATTTTTTTGATTTGCTTTGGAACAAATCTGAACTCTTTTGCCATTTTTTCAAGAATGTAGAAATTGTCAACGCTGAGATTTACTTTAAAAATTTCAATATCTGTGAAAACATTTTCAAATAAAAGGTCTGTGCATTGTTTATAATCTTTAAATAATGGGTCATTCCACACCGCTTCTAAAAAAAAGTCAGACGGAAAATCCTTCCAGCTCAATTGATTTGAAAGCTCATAAATGAACTCTGAACGATGTTCAACGTCATGGTTAATCCAATGAACCAAGCAATTCCATGAAATCATATTTGGGGCGAATCCATTTTTTCCAATATACTCGGCAAAATCAGTCTTTGACATTTCTAATAAATCAGAAACATCCTCAATGTAATATGTTTTTTGTAATGTTGAAAGAATCTTTTCTTCCATCTCAGTGATACTAAATTTTGATACGATCAATGAAATTCGGAGACAGGTTAGGTCGTTTAAACTTTTTTCTAAAAATTCCACACAGGTGTTTTTGAGCTTATGCAGTTGCATAAGTTCTGTTGCTTGTAATACATCCTCAATATTTTCAATATTGATTGAAACATCATTCATTTCTTCAGTGTACATGAACTCAATGCATTGACCCACAACACTTGAGTTTACATCCTTCATATCCACGAACCCTTGTTGGTTTTCTTTAGTGTCGTGAGATAACATGGCTCGGAAATATTCCGAGTTACTCATGATCAAGTCACGATGAACCTCAAATGACTGTTCACCGACATTGATTTTAAAGTCAGTCGGAACTCCTGCTTGTCTGAGATCTTTTTGTGATTCAGTATCATTTTCGCTTGAAGGTGTCTCAGTTGAATTTTCAGACATTTTAAACTTATTGTTTTAGCTACACTATTGTTAAATCTTCTGATGTATTACTTAATATAATTCTGAAAGATGCAGCAGAGATAAAATTAATAAAAACAAGTGACAAATGTTAAATCGGAGAAATAACTTTTTATGTGAACTTTTGGAAATAATTTTTGACTTATACACCCAATATGTAATAGTTATAAATTCATAAATATCTTGCATTTCTGATATAAAATATCTCAACTACATAGTCTTTTAATCTTCAAATCTAATGGGAAGTCATGTGCATTAGTCATATGCAAAATATTCATTAGATATCAACATATAATCTGATATTCACTTATACAGAATTACTGTATGCTAGTTTACAAACATAAGTAAGCCACCACCTATATCAATTACGTTATTAGGTTAAGCAGTAGAACTCTAAATATCCATAAATTAACACTAACAGGTGTCGAGTTTCTCACTAGGAATCTGACAACCTCATTATGTTAGGTTAAATGCAAGATAAATGCCGAAAACGGCTTGCACTAAACCATGTCATCATGCGACATATAGTGTGATAGCTGTCCTATGACTCAATCGTTTGCTTAATATACAAAAATCACTCTTGACGTAGTTTGCAAGCTTGACAAACATTGCGTTAAATAAAGCGACATCGTTTGCGAACTATTAGACACATAAACGAGCTTGTTCAAACAAAAGATAAATTGTACACTGTACAGTAAAATATGTTTGATATTTGGCGGCTGCTATAACTACAATTAGGACACATGAAATTATATAATTGCTTTTACACAATCTTCCGTTTAACAAAGTTTATAAAATAAATAATTAGAAAAAGGTTGGTATGTTTTAGTTCCAGTTTTAGATACTTGAATTTTCGTAGTGTTTGTACAAAAAAAAGCAATGTAGGTGATTCCCACTTAAATAATAGGTGTTATAATTTTTTTATGTTAAAAATATTAACACCAAGCATTTCGTTTCCAAATGTAAATGAACTTTTCAAATAGCCGGCGCTAAATTGAAACATAATCTGCAATAATACCTCGACTGACATTTATGGCTTCAGATCTATGCTGATATTTAAATAGGCTTGACTAGTCGTTTAAATTATGACCAGTCCACGTTAAACGCACCTTAAAAAGCAAGTATTTCATAAAATATTAGAATATATAACATGAATAAAAAGCCTTCATTTAGAGATAGAAGTTGTGCATTTAACTATGTTGATCCTAAGCAAAATTTTGATGAGTATTCAACCACAATGTCCATCATCATTTGCTAATATCAAAGCATAATTGATTTACTATTAAATGTTGAATACAACGGGTATGTATGTCTTATTACTTTAATTTAAGTCTTAACTTTCTCTGAGTCACATATTGATTTTTTATTTTACAGCATGGGAACACTTTTTTGACGTATAGGAAAACTTCATTTCATTCTTTTCGAAACTGCAATATTAACGGATTTTAGCATGACCTCGTTATTAGTAAACTTTGTCACAAAACTGTCAAATGACGGAATATGGTCATTGCATCCCATACGTTAGAAAACATAATAAAATTTACGTATGCTCGATACTTAATCAGTATCTAGAATACACGAGTTTGAATTTGAAGATGTCTCGTTTGATACGTGTCGTCTGTTTGATGCTGTTTATTCTAAGGAGTCACATTTTTAAGGGTGCGGGGGAGCTGTAGCCGATGTGAAGTATATTTTTTATTCTTATGTAGCCTTTTTCGAGTACTGTCATGAAATTCTAAGACTCGTTTTTTTACGTATTTTTGTATATGGGCATTTGATTTGTTGTCTAATGTCTGTGTGAAACATATCTAGTTTTTTATAAGAACAAATATTACCATACTACGTTCGTCTTATTATCGTCCCATTATTATTTCCAGATTTGTTAGAAAAAATACTTTTGTTTCATGGCTATAAACATCGGCAGCATTTTGGGCCACAAAATGGAAAAATGATAAATATGATGTTGAAAACAAAAGTGCAAAACTACAAAAAGTGAGATATTCTCGACATTTAGTCAAATCGTTGAAAGTGAATATATTAAGATGCTGGCTTCTATTTTTACAGTCTGGGCGTAATGAACCCACTCCATAAATCATCTTGATGACAATTTATATAAATTAAAAAAAATTTTATAGCATAATGTCTCGAACACAAGATATAGCATAATTTTAACAGATGAATGCTGCTCTCGTGGCAGTAGAAGCTCAAGGTGCTTTAGGAATGAATGGTGAGAATTTTTTCTGTTGATAAAATTTACCTACTTTTTTTTAAAAATTTGAAAAATAAAAATTTTTAAAATTTGGAATCGAACCAATGTGTTTTGTGGGTTTTTTGTTTTTTTTGTTTCAATAACTATTTTGTGTAATTTCTATTCGTATTCTATTTAGTCTAGTCTGTGTCTGACTTAACTATAGTTCTAGAATACTGAAAACTTTTATTGAACTACTTTGACGTCATGGAAACTGTTTTCTAATGTTTTGACCAGCAGTCGTTTTTTCGAACCAATGCTATCTAATGACATTCATCTATTTGTACATTCCGGATTTTAATTGAAAGATCTGGTATTTATTTAAGCAAACACACAAATTTAGAGTCCAGATTAAATTTTTATTTTGAATTTCTAGCATTTAACGTTGTCATAGGAACATTATGAGTGGATTTAACTTCTGGTGAGTAATAAATAAAAATAATTCCAGTAATTACCTCTACTGTGGAAACGATCTTTTGTATTCTATTAGCTAATACTAAATAAATCTACTGAGCAATTACAACTTCGTTTTGTGTCGTACAATACTTGGGGAAAAGTTCAATATTTGATTAATGATATTATTATATGCTGAAAAAGAAAAAAAACAAGATAGTAGTAATCAAATTTACGGGCACGGAAGCCAATCGAAGAAGTAATATTATATATCAATCAATCAATCAATTTTATTTTGATCACTCTAAAAGAAGGAAAACAACAACAAACGGACAAACAATATGCAGAGGACCTGGAGGACGGGCTCAAATAGTAAATAAGTTAAAAACTTACAAGTACGTGCCCGCCCACCAAAAACAGTCAAAAGAACTGCTTTTCCTTCAGAAATATAAAATAAAACTCACTCGTTGACGTAAAATGGTGATGCTGTAGTTCACTTTCATTGCAAAAATAATACAGTGACAAAAAATTGTTAATAAAATAAATAGCTCTGTAAATAGCTTGAATGTTCATAAACGTCTGCACAAATCATGGATTGGGGTATCGGGTTCTTTTGTCGTTTTCGATTAGTTCAATATAAAATCATTATATCCGTTCAAATGCTACCAATATCAATATCGAATTTCCACGAACGACCACCATTTCAACTGGTGCAGTGGTGCCGTCTTTTCTGCGCTCTGTTCCATCATCTACGACTAGATTCACAAAAGGATCGAAAGCTCGCAAAACGGCCGCAACAGATCGTCCATCATTTAAGTGTGAATCGAATCTTTTTATAGATAAACTTCTATAATTCCGGTGAATGGGCTTTGATCATGTTGATATTTCGCAATACATATACCAAATCACACAACACGTAGCATTTTTATACCAACGGTGTGCCAAAATTTTTGGTTGCATACCTAAACAGGCGGCAAATTTAAGTGTGACGTAACAATTACTTTTCAATCTTCACAATTAGGTTACAGAAAAGCGGCGCAGCAACAGATTATTAGAAACCTTTGTTCGGGGCCTTATATATGACACAGGTATATAGCTAAAACATGAATATATAAACAAAACAGCAATTCTAAAATATGTGGATACGAAGTTCAAATAATGTGTTCGGTTTATAATATTATAGTGTTCCCGTGGATTAACATAATTTAGTAAAGATTTCAGTTGACAAATTGCATCTGATAGGATAAAAGCGAGCTTATTTTTCACAATAATAATTTCAACAACAACAATTTTAACAAAACGATTCACACAAATACTTTGTATTTAAAGATGAGTACAATGATTCATATGGTCCATTGCACGCCATTTAGTGATAGTCTGATCAATTTTATGAGATTTTTTGGAAAATATATTAATGAGTGCGTGACAATTATTCACGACTTTCGATTCCTATCTAATTTTGTTTTTGTGCTGTTTTTGCTGGGATACGAAACAGGTGAAGCATGATTATCGAGTGACTACAATTGGGTGCACGTCCTCCGGCGTTCAGTACTGCTGAACCTAAAAATTTGCTAAAACCCGCTTTTGCGCCATTAAGACAATTACTTCCATGATGCAAAATATCGCGTGATATTGATACAATTCGGTCGTGCAATAGGTTTACCACCTCGTTGGCTTTGACACAGGTCGCAGAGATAACTTGTTATTTAAAAAAAACTGACAGTTTTTTAGGAACGGCGATACTGTGCTTTGTGTGGACATTAAATTCGCCAAATTACGAAATCCACGCGCCGACCATACTTATTTACCGTTTTGTCAGTTTCTGTCATATCAGTGTCGGCAATAGTTTGGGGAGGGTAATATTATAATCTGGCGCGACGGCCGAGTGGTTAAAGCGCTAGACTCAACTTTATTGGAGCTGCAGGTTCAAAATGTCAGAATCAATTCCCACAAAGATCAGCTTACCCAGGGTGTAATAAATTGAATAAGAATTGTGGGAACGGAAATATTACGGGATGTTCGCAAAATAGTAGCTATTTCCCAGTGGATGGCGGTACAGAGCCTTTTTCTGACTGAAACGGGTATAAACATATTGGCGTCGTGCCAAAAAAAAAAACAGAAATTCTGCGTGGAATAAAGAATACATAGGATATATCTCGGGTCAGTATATATATATATATTGAGCAAATAGTTAAAAAGCATATAGACCATAAATCCTGCTGAACCTGAAAATTTTGCTAAAGACCGCGCTCACAGCATCTTGAAGCAAATTACCTCCGTGACGTACGATATCGCGTGACACTGATACAATTCGCTCGTTCAATAGGTTTCCCACCACTCTGGCACCACATTGACACTGGTCGTTGAGATAACATCAGCTTACCCAGGGTGTAATAAATTGAATAGGATTTGTGAGAAACGAAAATATTACGGATGTTTCCAAAATATTAACTATTTCCCAGTTGCTGGCGGTACGAAGCCTTGTTCTGACTGAAAGGGATATCAATGTATTGGCGCTGTGTGAAAAAAGCAAACCAGAAGTTCTGCGCAAATAAGGAATACAAAATGGTTTGAAATTAAATAGGACCCGATGGTTAGTATAGATATATTTTCAGTATATGGTCGGATAACGCATATTGACCTAAAGTTCTGCTGAACCCTAAAAAAATGCTAGGCGATTGCATCAATTTGAAGCAATTACCTCTGTGACGCACAATATCGCGTGATAATAATTCAATTGAATGGTTAAAAAGGTTTCCCACCACGTTGGCTTTGACACTGGCCGTTGAGGTAACTTGTTATTTTAAAAAGAAGCTGACAGTTTTTCTATGAATGGCGAATCTGTGTATTGCGCGGAAATATTGAATTCGCCAAAATACGAAATCCACGCGTCAATCATACTACTTTAACTTATATTCTTATTGAATAAATTCTAGATTTTTGCGTAACTGCAGCTATTGGCAATGCCCTTTTGGGATTTCGTCACAAAAATATTTGAGAATTACATGGGTCCTACTGATTTGAACTGATGATCTGAGGATTTTATGATACATGCTCCAGCAAAAGATTTTCAACAAACAATTTTGTTTCAGCGGTTTTCTATTTTTATTTTTTTTTTGTCACGTTTAATAATAATACTCCAACAAAAAAAGTAAAAAAATGAATTTATTATAATCAAAGATTAAATTTGCGCGTGGCCTCGGCCAAATACTATATATGTACATTTAATACCCTTTCGGGGAAAAACGGTAGCTAGACATGTCAGCATAATTTGTTGCAGGTGGGGAAGTTCTGATGAAATATCAAATCTTTACAGTTATATTTCACGAAGCATTATATTAAGATGTATTATTATTAACTACGCATTATAATAAAATGAATAGAATTGGAACCTTTGTATACGTTATAATATAATATTCGGGCGCGATGGCCAAATGGTAAATCGTTAGTCTTAACCTTATTGGCGCTGCAGGTTGGAAATATCGGAATCAATTCCCATGACAATCAGGTTACCAAGGGTGAAATGAATTTGCTATGATATGCGGGTATGCGATATGATATTACAGACGTTGAGAAATACAATAGCTTATTTTTCAGTGGAGGACGGTAAAGAGATTTGTTCTGAATAAAACGCGTATAAAACGTATTGAAATTAAAAATAATACCAGTCAAACTCAGCACATGTGGTTGTGTCATGTCTTAGGTCACTGAACGTTTCAGTGGTCTACACAGTCGGCTATATGGCTGCCGACGCTAGCAAATTTTTCAACTTGTATTTTTGTGTTTTTTTATGTAGAGAGTCAATCTGAGAGAACTGAGACAAAAGAAAAAAACATATACGAGTTAACAAAAAGTAGCAGTCGGAGTCAAAAAAAGGAAAAAGTTCTACCGCAATATATTCCAAATTATGTCTCAAATCGAGCATTGTATATTCTCGATTCTCGAAAGCTTGTTCTGGGATAGTTAGCTGTTGGTTAGTTTTCACAAGTATATTATTTAGTACTCTTCGAAGTATGTGAACCAAGATGGCGGACACCGGAACGTAGTATGTGTACCAGGTTAGGGTTAGACCATAATTCCAGGTACAAATAATACGGGAGTCACTCGGCTAGTCCCTGAAATCGTAAAAGAACTATAATAAGGAAAATTTGAAAAAAACTATGGCTTAATCCTATATCTTTCGGTGTCCGCCATCTTGGTTAACATACTTCAGGAGTACCGTATATAGGGTTTCATTCAGAGAAAAACTCTTTATATGCTCCGCTCACAGGTAGCTGGTTACTAACTAGTAGAAGATTTTAAGTCTACGCTTTCCAATACAAAACTTAGATCCTTAATTTGTACGCAATAATTCTCATCTGGCCAAGTCCAGAATTGAACGGATATTTAGAGAATTATCTAATAGATCAGGAGTGTGCAACCTTTAATACAGGTGTGCCAGATACAAATAACTGGGTAAAACCACGGGTCGCACTTTTACTTAACACAGGTGTGCAAACTCAAAGAGGAAGTCTTAAAACGAAGAGGACATAAACAACCGGAAACTTTATAGTTAGACATTACCTGTCCAATTTGTAACGAATGGAAGCCAATATATTCAACTTTTACAATGAAAAGTTGGGTTGGCAATGAATTTAATGAGTGCCACGAGATTGAATGCCATGAAATTGTTTTGCCAGACGTCCATTGGCTTTAACCAATGTATGTAGCGTTTCTGACTTGAACAAAACTTTCGGTTAAAAAAGTTTATCGTTCTATTTCATGATATGTATTTTACAAAACTTAAACTTAATAAGTACTGTTACTGTATAATGAGAGACTATGTATTTTACTTGGATACTCATGGTGCTATGCGTTGGAATATCACATGGAGAGCGGATTCCCGAACAAAGTTCGCAGGTGTGGTCTCTGTATATTTATTGATAACGTCGATTTTTTTCGCAATCGTTTCCCCCTGGCTGATTCTATGTCTTGAATTGTGTGGAGCATCATGTCAACTGCTATAACTCTAGGTAGCCCGTATAACAGTGGTCACTAGGGCTAGACATTTCAAATCAAATATTCAAATCGGTTCAGACGAAAATTTAGAATTGCAGCCATCTTGTTTATTATTTGGCGGCCAAAGGTCATGTTGAATTCCTGAATTTATTTTATCGAAGGCATATTTCTACAGTGTAATTCTGGCATATTATTACTTTCTTTCTAGTGATTTCTTGATGAAATATGTTTTTATTGTGTGTAAAGGCTACGCAAAATGTCTGATTGATGAATTCTATATTTTTAGTAATGTAGGTGGCTGTAGGAACCATCACAATGAAAAAACACATGCAATTTAATATCTCCCAAGTGTTTGAGATTTGATTTGATTTGAAAAAATATTCGATTCCATTATGAAATCATCAGGTATTCGATAATGTCCGGTGCTCACACCCAATACCCACAGCTATCGATGTTTCGATTATTCCGAACTCTCCTTACAATTAAGCAACCATTCCAATTTTAGTGATGCGTTAAGTAACATGCTTTAATACCCTGTGATTCATATGATGGTACGATATAAAACTTCTATTCCTGATCGAAAACATTTTGATCGCTTACCATCATTTATTAGTCTAAAACACCGCAGTTTTATATATATATACCGGCTAGATTTTATATATTTATATATATTTCTCAAAAATCTACATAGTGGCAAAGTTTTACAAAATTTGTGGTAGAATTAGGAAAAAAAATGTGAAAAAATATGTGATATCATATTAAGGGTCTCTTCGATTTCTTAACTGCCAACAAGAAACCATAATATGCAATGAAAACAGCAATTTTTTTAAACACTCATGAGTCCATTTTAACTAATTATCGAGCACTACAGGGTAAACAAAGTGGAATCAGAAAAATTGCAAAATTTTTCTACCAAAATTAGTAGCCCTTCATGTATCAGTTTCTACTTTAGCTACTAGCTGTAGCTAAAATATTTTCATTTGATAATTTTTAATTTTCACAATATTTTCACAGTCAGAACAGACTAGCGTGCCGTGGAAAGCAGTTTGGGAAATCCTGGTCTATCTTATTTTTCGCTGAATATTTATCGAAGTAGTTACATGCATAGGAGATTTTAAAAGCGAGTTGGAACCCAGGCTCGTTTCTTTCTTTTTTTACTAAGAAGTGAAAACGACTTGGCCCCTGAGATGACTATCACGATTAATTAAATTGTTGTATTTGGGCGCCTGTCTCGGATAGACTTCACATTCGAACGGTTGAATTTTTAATCGGACTTTACATTTTGATGATTTAATTATTTATACAACCATTTGCATCAATATCATACTCATCACCTCAAGTGGTGATAATTTAAGAAGACAAGACCCAAACAGATAGATTCAGGTTATTTAGTAGTAGCTCTCTTCTACTTATTAGTGAGTGACTGTTTATTTAACTACTCTTGACTACTAGTCTATTCATTCGGAGAAACGGTCATATATTATTAACGTCAGGATAAGATAGATAAGATAGGCCTCAATTTATCTTACTAATGTTGGAGTCGGAATGTACAAAAGGAGACGAAAATTGACTAAGTAATCAAAGTGAATGCTTTCGCTTCACATATTTATACTTTTTTCATAATTTACTTTATTTTAAGATCATCAAATGCATCTGTATTGTACCAACAGAGACCAGCGTTCCATCCAAACCGATCAAAGAATTATGCAAGGAAAGGCTGGGCCACGAGGGCCACGCGGGCCACCAGGAGAAGTAGATTACCATATCATAAATGAAACTATAAATGAATATTTCACTGGTATGTGATTTTGGATATGAATTGGACATACCAATTATTTTTTTAACTACTTTTTACCTTTGTGGTTAAGGTGTGTGGCTGAGGAAAAATATTTACTTCATGATTTTTCTGGTTCTTTTGACAAAAATGAACACTAATGAAATCAAATGGTAATAGCGCGGATATTATAAGATCGCCGATATGGGACTTTGATTTATTCAATATACAAACAAATGTTGCCAATAGGAATTGTTGTTTTACTAAATTATATCAGAAATTTTTAATTTTTATTTTTGAATTTCGATTCGGCGTCATGTATAAATTTCACTTCGAAAGGGATTTTGTTTATTTATTCGATTTCCTCAATTTGGATTTTTTTTTATTAATTTTGATGTTTTTTTTATTGTATTTTGAAACTAGAGTACTGCTCTAGAAAAATATTTGAGAAAATATGTTTATAATTACGGTAAACAACGAACGACTTTTTGTTTTGTTTTTTTTCCAGATACTTCCGGACAGATACAAGCAAACCTGACTCAGATAGGTCCCATTGTTGCGAAATCTAGTGAGGACATTGAGGGATTGCAAGAAGGTGAGAGTTCATGTTAAAAAAAACAGTATTGCTTAAATATATGGGAATAAATTTGCAACGATAACTAGCCATTTATTGTCTTTGTCATATCATATCTATTTACCGAGGAAGTAGTAATTCGGCCTTTGCGACCAGAAATTGACCTGGCGAAACAGCTTCATTGGTTTTTGATGACTTCAGAAATTTAAATAAGTAAAATACGTCGCATTCAAGCCAGAAATGAATAAGATATCAAAATGAAATCTCCTATTTTAAATCATAACTCTATTATTTATTGTCCATGTAGGGCAGTGGTTCTTAAACTTTTTCGAGCGCGACCCAAATCTGAGTTTATGAATACTTGCGACCCAATCCTAAATAACGCAAAATGTGTTTTTAATGTTAGTACAGTTTGACTCAAATACAGACAACTATTTATTAGAAACAGTCCATTGACTCAGTGAGATTGATGAAGTTGAAATTTTCTTTTCATTATATCTTCAATACACAGCTCTATTTTACTTAACGCAATACGCAAGTTGTCACGGGTATCGAGGCGATTGCGAGCTTAGTTTTGATAACCGTCAGTGCCAAATATCCTAGCTCGCACAAGTGCCTTGTCGCGAATTGTAGCAGAAAAGGCGTCCGCTGTCCGTCGCAAACACGACATCCTAGCTGGCCTTCGGTATCTCTCGCAATATACAACTTTTTACTCATCAAGTGTGCACACACTGCTTCGTTCGCGGTAAATGGTGCCTCGAGATGAAGTCACATTTTCTCTAGATATTGAATAATCTAATGTCGAGAAGCGAGCTTCTTCATTGCGTCGTCTATTACTATTTACATTACCAAAAAGACACCCATTTTTGGGTATTTTAATCCACTAAGACGACATTCCACGCGGTCAACACAACGACAAGCGACGTGCATGGTTACCGATACCATAAAAATAATACACATGACTGGCATGTCAGAATTGTGATGTAACAATGAGCTCAAGGCAGTTCTTTCCGTGAATGAAATTTTATATTCCATTATTTTTAAATACCAGAGTTTAGAAGCTAAATTGAAACATTGGGAAAGCTGAAAATTCGTCCTTCTCCTCTCAGATTGCCCTTGCCTTGACGACCTTGTCGCGACCCATTTTTAAACCTTCCGCGACCCATGTTTGGGTCGCGACCCATACTTTAAGAACCACTGATGTAGGGCCTAATTTTATGAGTATGATTTTCATTCAATACCCACTATTCATTTCTTCGTCATAGAAACTGAAATAAATAAAATATGATCCGTTTTCGACAAGAAATATTGACCTGGAATTTCCATTTAACGTTGGGAACCATACTTGAATATCCGAGTTGACGATAATATGATACAAATTTGCTACCGATGTAGGGTTCTTCTAACAACAGTGACTAAGCCGGTCATGGCTGACGCGAAACCATTAGTTGATATAAAACAGCAAAATTGGGTGAAATACCGGGACCCAAAGCACTCCAAACTCTAGAGTGAAATAAAGAGTAGAAGCCCACTAGCGAAATTTGATCAACTTGTATGTACTGACAATTCGAATTTGATTAGGCTTTTTGTTGCACAGAAAGAATTTTTTTCAACAATCAATTAATCAAGCATGATACTAAATTTGCATTGTGACGTCATCTTTTGTATTATACATAACGTTCGTTAATTCTAAATCCAATTGTCGCCCGTCCCTAGAAAGCGTAAAACAAATTGATGATTTGGCGTCTTCAATTTTTCTTAATATATACGTCTCTTATTCATGCCTTTGCTATGGAAAAGACTCATCCCCACCATAATAGCCACGATATGCAATGAGTCATTTTCTCATTCTATCCCAATTTATTACACCATGGGCGAGGTGGTGTGCAAGGTATTTGATACCAAAATGTGTAACCTACGAAAAATGATTATGTTTGACATTCTATTTTTAAATGTAAGAATCTTAGGTAACAAGCAAATAATCTTCGATTTAGTATGCTTTGTGTTAGATGTAAACATGGCGATTTATGTTTCGTTAAACTGAGCATTCAAGGTTAGGACCGTAGCAGAAGCCACCGTTCATGATAAAAACTTTCTCGTAGAAATCAGCGATGACAAATTATATTTTCCTACCGTTTTCAGCTTTTGAATACTTTTCATCGTTATTTTTTTTCTTTGAAGCATCTCGGAACACTCAAACAAAACTGAATGTAATTGAAACAGATATCGAATCAGGTAAATTAAGAAAATTTTATACAGCAAAAACGAATGAAAACATCAAAACACCAAAACTAAAAAATCTTAGAGCCAAAATCTAGCACCTATTTGACAATTCAAAATTAATTAGGTTCTTAGTTGCACGGAAAAAGAAATCTTTCTAATTAACCTAAGCAATCACCGCAACCACAAGTGTAAGTTTGTATTGTGGCGTCAACTTTTGTATTATTACTTAATGTTCGTCAATTTCAAATCAGATTGTCCGAACTCTCCATCAAAAAACAAATTAAATATTTGACGTCTCCAATTTAGCATGTTTTTATATTATACAGGGTGATCAGAACAAGTGTGGACGAATGTTTATTGAAATATCTACAATAAAAATTTATTTTACAGAAAATAGCAGTATTAAAATATATAATAGAATTCAATATTATTTTTCGATATATTCTCCCTTGGACGAAACCTTGGACGAATACACTTTGATCAGTGCTAGCCGCTATCACGAACGCTCCCCTATTTGCCGATTTATTAATGCAGACGCATTATGATATACACGCAAAACATGGCCGAGAACATGCCCGTTCCGTTTGTGGTGGACAGTAACGGTGAGGGCGATGATTTAAAATGATTTCTTTCTCTCTTTTATTTATATTGTAGATATTTTTTTAATTAACATTTGTCTACACTTGGTCTGATCACCCTGTATATAATTTTATATTTATTCATGCTTTTGCTACGGAAAAGGGACATACACAGTAACCACTGGAATCATATCGTATAAATATAAAAAATGCTTCAGGTAGCAAGCCTGAAACCTTGGATTTTCAGTAAATCGCGTGTTAATATAATTGTGAAGCTTGAACTAACTGGTTTTTGCATTCATATGTTACGATATATACACGAATAGATGTAAATATGGCAATTAATGTTTGTTTAAACGAGGATGAGACCGTGATAGAAACGAACAAACCATGAAAGGCTTAAACAACCTGAAAGCTTTTATCTAGAAGTGGTCTTTAGCAATCCTACTTGTCCTACATTTAGTTTGTTGGCTTAGAGATATTTCCCATTAATATTTCTTTTTTATTGAAGCATCCGGACACACTCGAATAAAACTGAATGAAATCGAAACGGATATTGAAGGATTGAAATCAGGTAAAAAAGAATAATTTTGTGGAACAAAAGGGAATTGAAACACGAATAACAAAACTAAAATATTTCATAAAATTGATTCAGCGTTATTTATTCTTTCGAGGTTATGTTGGTATTTCTGTTTTGTAATGGGTTAGGCATTATATCATGATTTCATATCTATTGCAGAGAAAATGGGTTTTTATATACCGGTATCCTATAAGAAACAAGTAATTCTCAGTTTTGTTTGTAAATTATGATCTTCAGTTGAAGACGACAATAGAATCAAATGTACGAATTGGAAAGAAACAGTATAATAATATCATTTTCATTTTATCAGATCATAGCAATAGTTTTGGCATAATGTTACAAATGTTGGAAAACCGAAAGCATGATGCGCATGAAAATAAAATGAATCGACATTTATAGCAATGCAACAAATGCGAGAGCAGCTGAGAAGTTTGACTAAAACATTGGCTTTTTACGAATTTAAAGACGTTAGCACATGGTATCGAGCGCGGAACAACCATTACTATCAACAATTTCAATTCAGGACCACCTACGCAAAGGCGAAAGCAAATTGTAAAAGATACGGAGGTCAACTGGCATCGGCGGGATATCAAGATAACAACGTTCGCAGGTGATTTGGGTAGTTGGGATGGGAAAGCTAATATAATCGTAGGATTGATTCCAAATGTGGATTCAAATGACAGTTTAGAGATCCTGTGCCACTGGTGCTTGTATAACACCATTTTAATTTATAATCGTTATTATACTTCTTAAAATACCTAATGGTATGTATTTCACCAATGTAATGACACATGCTGAAAATCCGAAACAAAATGAATTCGATTTTGGCCAATCTTAGTTCCACCTCCAAGTCTACCGATCCAACGTTTGAATTGTCATGCTATGCTTTATTGGGGATGTTAAATACCCGGAGGAAAACTCAAATATTTTTTTTTGCAGAGAAATTTTACCCTTGGTCAAAGCTGGAAGATCCCACGCTTGGATTGGTTTGAACGACATTCGAAATGAAAACACGTTTGTCTGGGAAGATGGTGTAACGGCAACTGCAGGTTCTATTCCATGGCATGAGGGTGAACCAAACAACGCCTTCGGTAATGAAGATTGCGTCGATATTGCTTCCGGCTTTGATTGGAATTTGAACGACCAATCTTGTGGCAAAAAACAAAACTATTTATGTGAGATTTAAGCACAATTTTACGTTTTCGACAAGTCAAATGCTGATAATATCTGGATAATAGTAAACTTTTGCAATATCAAATCAAGATTGGTTGATATAAATGTTTGTAGATTATCAAATTTGAATGATAGCAAGAAAAACAAAAATAAAAAAGCAATCAGGAACATACATGTAAAGTTTTCATTACTTTCCATTTGAATATTTAGTATTCCGAAACAATCTAAAAACGATGATTCGGACATGTAATATATAGATATATACATGGTGTCTCAAAAGTGAATATACACTTTTAATTTTAATTTGCTTTTCAGGTACTCATCACCGAGCATTCATTTCTTCGGGAAACATAGTATGAATAACTAGTAACTCTTAGGTATTGTTTGCATTTTTCAACAACCCACAGAATGACGAGGAGATTAACCGAAAAAATGAGAAGCAAAATCGCTGATTGGCAAGAAGCATAAAAATCCGTAAGGCAGACCTAGCGCCTATCTAACAGAGAATTTGAAATTAATTCAGCTTCGAATGTTTTCCTCAAAGCGTCCGTTCCATGGTTTTGCTGATCTTTGTACATCAAATACAGATCCAGTTTACATGATTTTTTGATGAATTGCGTAATTCTTTGTCGTAAAAGTGCAGAATGCAATACTGTTTTATATTCGTCCTGCCAAACAGATATTTTTCACCTCATTTCTTGGGCTAATCTCCTTGTCATTCTGTGGGTTGTTGAAAAATGCAAACAATACCTAAATTTTACTACTTATTCATACTATGTTTTCTGAAGGAATGAACGCTCCAAGATGAGTACCTGAAAGAAAAACCAAAATTCAAAGTGTATAATCACTTTTGAGACACCCTGTATATAATAAAGATGCTGGGGTCTGCGTCGACACCCGAAGTCGAAAATTTTCAATGAATAAATTTTAAGTCAAATTTCGAACAGTATTTCCAAGCTATACGGAACTTATCATTAGAGACTGAATCAACATTTTGCACTTTGGAAAAGTGAAGTTTCGGACACAAGAAATGTATTTTTTCGTGAGGTAGAAATTTGTAACTTTTTACAGTCTAACAACAAATTCACTCATCCCCTTAGCATCTAAATGAGTTTGCATAATGTCCATATACATTTAAGGTAATTCAGAAAATAGTTCAATAATATGGTTTAGTTTTTGCAGAATGTATTTCCCTCATATTATTTTTTATATGACGTATATTCACGCATTCTGCTCGGCCATATACAGGCGGTTTGATTCGGAGGAACCGTAATTTATGCGGTTTGGCATTGCCTAAACCTAAGTCATTACTCCCTACTCCCTGGACAAGGTTGTGCGATTTGAATCAAAGAGCTACAATTTGCGAAACCAGCACAGTTATGATCAACTCTTTACCGCTGGGCCATCGCGCTAGTTATATTCAATGGTTATATAGTAAAAAAAAGCATCATAATATGTTATGTCCCAACTCCCAATGGGAAAATAAGTTCGTGTATGTATGATATATGATGCCTCTATCCAGACTTATCATTAGGCAAGTTTGGCTTAAGCCTAGGAGCCTCAAGCGTTAGGAGCCCAGACCTTGAATTTGGAACTGTTATTCAGTTTAAAGCCGTTTTTCCATTTTGAAAGTTTTATTTAAGAATTTTACCGATCCAATAACTTAAATTCAAAACTGGTATATGTTTAATTTTTGAACCAGGTTATTAATTGTTCTCGCAATACAATCTGTTTACGAAATACAATAATTGAGTTATTCTGAGTGTTGAAAAATCCCTCAACTTAAAAAAATATACTAACAGTTTTTTACTCTGATAATGCATTTATTTTTTGAAAAAGATGATGAAATAACGATATATAGCTATTATATAGCTAATTTATTGTACTATTTTTTAAATCTTTTTATATTGTATATTACCAAAAAAATCGAATGATAAATTTTTATTAGTAATGTTTCATTTGTCCCCTCTCGCGACTAGAAGTGAATGTCATTAGGTTACATAGGCTGCCCTGGGCCATGACGTTTTATGTCGTTTTAGGGTTTACTATTCAACTTACTATCCAATCTATTCGGTTTTCAGCGTATGTATGATGCGTGTAACTGAAATTTCGTATTTCACACAATTTCAACAGTTTTAATATAAAATATATTTTACATATTTTCCAATTCATATTATGACGTCCTAGTTGAACGTTATGACGTCATTGTTGAGGAGAGGCCTCACAAATGATATAGTCCAGGGTCCTCTTACAGTTTAAATCCGGCGCAGCCACCCCTTTAGTAAACCGGTGTCCGTAATGATGTTGTTTACTAATACTCATCAATACCACTTTCTTTTATCACTATCACTATCATTGTATATTATCGAAATAAACCTGATTACTAAACAGTATGTTTCGTGTTGAGTTTACCAAAAGTCTGCCAAGTTTTACCTATTGCTGTACTAAGTAGGATTAGAACACTGATATACCGGAATAAGATTAGAGGACGATTTTTAAAGTGGAGAGTAAAGAGACTATACAAATTGAGGTATCGCTTTGGTATGCGTTTAATCACATACGGACATTCTCGTAGAATTCCATTTCCAACCCTAACTAAAATCATTAATATTACACGGCCGCTGAGATCGTATATCGAAGTAGATCTAACTGCTTTATGGTTCTTATCTTGTTACCTCCTTGTACTGTTATTGATCTATAAGTCAGCCCAATGTTCGAAAATTCGGAAAACTTTTTTTAATGAATCCTATTCGAAAGAGATTTTGATCTAAAAATATTGAATACTTCTTGGCCTGAACAATAATGCAGGACTATACAAAAATGCATACTACAGAGAATGATAAATACAGATTCCCAGGACGCATGTATTTTGTCTTTGAAATTATCTAGTATAAATTTACGTCAATAGATGTAGAAACTAAGAGCCCAAGGCAATCAATGAATAATATATTGCTTATAAATAATGCAACAACGGTTGACATAAATTGTTCGTTAATTGGTTTATTAATTGAATTAATTGGTTTAAAAATAACACCAGTAAATTCGCTGCTGTGCAAAAGAACTCCACTTTTATAGAAATGTACCACATCCTCTGGCAAAATATGAGAGGCAATTATTAATTGAGGTATTGAGCCTAAAATAATAGATAGCGAAAGACAGAACAATGTGCTTTTCGAAGAACATGTATACACAAAAAAGTGTACACGCTTGAATTCTAAAAATTCATAAACTGTGTTGAGATTTAATATAAGAACTATTAATCTATACATTGCAGTTTAGTGCCCATAAAATCCAGTCGTATATGTGGATGTGACGCACGGACGTACGATTAGGTACGGAAAAGTCACCGTAAGCAGATTTTTTTTCTTGATGCAAAGGTTCAGATTACAAATTGAAATATAATCGACGAGCATTGTCTCAAAAAACAATGTGCCAATTACACCTTTCCAGCACACTTGTCCTAATTTGCAACATTGGTGCGACTTGACCCAACTGTCCCACTCATATCACTGTACAGACTTAGGTTAGATATATTCTGAAAGTCAAATGGTCACTGCAGGAATATAATAGATGCTCGCTAGGGTTTTGGGTTTGGCTTCTTCAGAAGGTAATGACATACTATTTGTGTAATTGATATTTCCCTACATAACGTTGATTAACTATATAAAGATATACTAAAAAAATATTCAATTTAAGAAATAAATAAATTCAATTTTTATATTCAATAAGCATCTTAGAGAAATTTATAAACTGGAAAGTTTCAAGAAGTGGAATATGCTAGATTTACAGGGTGGTCCATACTCAGGCCAGCGGGCCACATGTGGTCCGTAGCTTCATTATCTGTGGACCGCGTTGTATTCGGAGAGTAATCAAAACATTGCAGGTGTTGTTTTGTCATAAAATTACCCATAAAAATTCATTTGACATATTGTCACATAAATAATGTCACTGAATTGACCAGTGTTATGACTAGCTGAGACAACTAGCGAAGTGGAATGAAGTGCTTGGCAATCAAACTGTTATCTGGCTTTCTATCATTTTGGTCAGAAATATAAGCCAACAATATAGGCATCATAGAAAACAAAAATCGAATGCTGATTATATTAACTAACAATAATATTTATGAGGATGTTTTTTGTAACCAGCCTAAACAGTATTACAAACCTGCTTTCTATATGTCAGCAAATTTAGTAATTACCCTCTTAGTCCAGCGGATAAGAGTTAAATTCATGCTCTTTTGGATGCAAGCATGAAATTTGGCACACATGTACAGTAGCATCCCCTGATCAATTTTGAATATGGTGCCATCCAAGAAAATACCTCGTTGCAATGAAAACGAGGCATCATCCGTATTACTATTTAAAGGGAAATAAACATTACTTTAGGAAAAAATATTTCAAGATAAGTAAACTTCGCACACATGTACAGTAGCATCCCCCGATCAAGTTGAAGTTTCGGAACTCTGGATCATGTTTGAAACGAAAAAGAATCAAATGATTCTACCTATTCAAAAAATTTCCAAGAAGCTCGGGAAGGAAAAGTCGCAGAGTTTACCCCTATTTTACGCTCTAACAGGATGTGACACAACGTCTTTTATCCTTGGTCATGGCAAAAAGAGGGCTCAGACAACGTGGGAAAATCTTCCAGATCTGACCAAGACGCTGTTAATGTTAAGCCTACTGAAGCTAGAGGGGACAAGCGAAGTGCCTGCACAATGCATTCAAATGATTGAAAGATTCACCGTTCTGCTCTTCGATCGGACAAGTATGTTGTCAATGGTATGTACAGTTAAACTTAGCAATTACCCAGCTGTTAGTTAGATGTTGAAATACGGTTGAATCCTAATTGATGACTAGAATCGACAACATTTCGACCTCTATCTATCGACATGTGCCAGCTAGGTGAGCCAAAAAATAATTTAGACACTTTGGATATTGAACAAACTTCAAAAGCAGAAACTTTCCTCACTGATAAATATTTTATTTCCCTTCAGGTTAATGAGCTACGACATCTGTTTACAAATAAAAGGAAAATGCCATGAAACATCCCCCCTACATCAAATTCTCCGCTGCAACACAAAAGTAGAGCAATCTTCTTAGGTGTGTTTATTTGGAGCAAAGCAACAAAGGTTTCACAAAATTTACCTGATGCACAGAGATGGGGATGGGAAAAAGTAGGAGACAAATTTTTACCAAGATGGATGACTATCCCTGAAGCAGCAAAAATTTGCACAGAGCTGATTCATTGTGGCTGCAAGAGAAGTTGTGCTGCTCGCTGCAAATGTTAACGTGCTGATTTAGCATGTACATCACTATGTTTCTGTGATGGGGATTGCGGAAATAACGACTGACACTGCAAAATTGATCGGGGGAGGCTACTGTACATGTGTGCCAAGTTTCATGCTTGCATCCAAAAGTGCAGGAGTATATATCTAAATAGTAAAATTGCCCCAACTAGTTATTGGGGAGTCTTTGAGGAATATATTTTTGAAAAATATAATTATTTCAATCGTTTTTCTATTTATTTCTTTTTGTAGCACTTACATAAGGCGACGTTAGATATAGATTAGAATATTCAACGATTCCAGCCGAGTTTGAGCTGAAATGCAATGCAAGTTTTCCGTTTTTATCTGACTGAGATACTAATGCCAGAGTTAAGAGAATGAATTTATCTTTTTTAATATATGATGACGATATGATAGCTCCAAGATAACAGTAATCCGTCAGTTATCAGATATATATTTTATATAATTTCACCAGCTTTACGTGGCTATGAGTTTGAAAGTATACTATTGGCGATGGCAGTTGATTGGGCACAAAAGGAATTGCGTTTTGAAAGTGAATGTAGCTTAATTTGTTATCCATGACAATAACAGAAAATACAGGTTGTGTTACTTATGATCGTGTTTGGTCGATAACGATACCTCGTTTCCATGGCAACAGGTATTCTGCTGTTGTTGAAAATTGTCAAAATGCACAACTGATCATATTCTTCACTTCTTATATACACATCGGTTTACTTATCTTGAAAATATTCTTTCCTAAAGTAAAGTTCATTTCCCTTTAATAGCAATACGGATGATGCCTCGTTTCCATGGCAACGAAGTATTTTCTTGGCTGGCACCATATCCAAAATTAATTAGAATATGCTACTGTACATGTGTGCCAAGTTTCATGCTTGCATCTAAAAGTGCACATTTTCTTATCCGCAGGACTATCTCCTATACCTCACATGTGGTAACCAATCAATTTTTATCAATTCAAACAGTTTTTAAACTGGATGTGGGGAAGAAAATTCCGCAATGCTTGTTTGATATGTCGGCAAGTTGTGTTGGGTATAAAAGACCATGATTTGAAACGGAATTTTAAAATCTTGTGAGCAATGAGCATTTTCCAATGTTAAGATTTTGCTTTTTAAATCTTAGCAATGTTCGAAAACACTTCCATTTGAGGAAGCAATTATGCCGTTATTGAGAGTTTAGAATCGGCTCCCGAAGCCGACGACCCTGTTCTAGAAGTTATAAAAAGTACATAGGTATTATGATATTATGTTTGAATATAATTAATATTCATTTTCTGATGAAAATTTGCATTTCAAGGATCGTAGTAGTTTAATTAAACACATATAAATGCAAGTATTAAACGGTGATTTTTTATTGAAGTTTACCAACTACATTATACATTTTTTTATTCCTCTCTGAAAAATACCTGTTATAACAAACGTCAGAATTTTTGCTGTACATCTACAAATAGTTTTTAATATTGTTGGGGTACATCATTCATTTATTACTTCTTTACCAAGTTATTTTTTTTTTTTAAATATTTCTGATTTATATATTTCTACATTTAATATATTGTCAATGCAAGCTCTTCAAACTGTTTTGCTTATATCGAACTGATATCATTGGTAAATTTGATATAGTGTACGGACTCGAGTGCTGACAAGGGCAACAATACATGGCTTGGCTGGGCCGGGTTATGACTCGCTGGCCGGCGGTTGCATACTCCTGCTCTATAGAGTTCGTAAATAATAAGACAATACTCGTATATTGTTTTGAGATGTCGGTTCCAACGGGATACACTAATGAGGGGAAATCAATTCAAGATATAACAGTATCGTCTGCGTTCAATTACGTCTGGATAAATATATATTACAAAACACGCTGATGATAAAGTTTGAATTTATTTACTCCAATATGACACTTAGCTACATTTGCTAGGGCTCGTATCCACGTAAACGCTAAACACCAAATAAAATGTCCAAAAAAAATTTTGGAAAATGTTATACTGATGAATTTAAGAACATCCTTAATAAAATTAAAATGGGGTTGACACTCAAATCAAAAGCAATGTCGAATATTATCTCACAATAACATTCATTTGCATGGTTATTGAAACTATAACATTAAACACCAAAAACTCAACAAATAAAAAATAAAACAATCAGACAGGTTTCCACAATAACAATGTTGTTTGGCATAACAAGGAAATGATGAAGGCTGTTATTATAGTGGGATCTAAGCTAATATCAAGTATACATTTCATTTATGACAACCAAACAATATTCATTATATTGATTTGCTGCCCTAAGCTTTAAAATATTATTCAAATTCAATTTTATTGATGGCCACATCCCCTTCCACCCTTAATATCGTGACATCGTCGATGTTTTCTCTGCGATGATGAAAATGGAAAGCTTTTTCACCGTTGATCTCAACTTGAAATCCATAGTCATCTTCAGTTACTTTCACCTGGTAACAAATACATTCCTTTAATATAATAATATATAACAAGCGATAGGCAACGCTAAAAATAAGTGACAAAGAAAAAAAACATGCAGATATAAATCCAGGTAATAAAACTGTTCATGTAAATAGCCATTGGTCAATACTTACTTACTACTAGTAAGCAAGTGATGTTTTTATACGAAGTAGATTATGAAAAGGTTGCAATGCTCATTATCCCGAATGGGTTATTGTCACGTCTTGATAATCAGGGAACCCGTTGTTGTTTTTGTCTTATACGTTGGACGACGGAACCCAAATGGGGAACGTACGACTAGTTTCATTTTTGGCATTTCGGAAGTTATGTATCAGATTTATTTAAAGTGAGTCATAGTAAAATAGTAAATGAACGGCTTTGCATGCTTTTATCTTCTTAAGACCTTGTGTTATTATAGAGCTATAAGTTAAGCACGAATCTTACCACGAAAGAACTATTGTAATGAAATGGAAACGGCATATCCAGGTCCAGCTGTGCATTATCGGATACAAAATATCCAGTGGAGGCATCATAATCGTTTCGGACAATCTCTTTTTCGGACATTCTTGGATTGAAATGTAAATGAATATTTCCATCTCGATCCATAAAGTTGAACTCAAACCTGTAGAAATTTAACATCGTGTAAAACAGTATTTAATGCTACATCTTATAACGATTTCATGTTGCCAAAATATTTGTTTAGATCCTTTTTTTTTATGATTTATTCTAAATATATGTTTCAGAAACAAAAATGCACAGTTACCGTCCATTTTCCTCAGTTGGTAATCCGTAAAACGAAATTGATTGATTATGCATACTATCCTCAAAGGGCATATTTCCTTCCCAAGGCAAACCCTGAAAGTTTTGGTAGCAAATATTAAACTGAATCGCTAAGGAGTCTTTTAATGTTGCTAATAAGGAGGAGAAGACACCTTCGCCATGTTTTGAGTACTGAAAATTGCCCTCGTCATGTGAGGATTAAAGTTATGAGGCACACGGAACTTCGCGAGGTAACCCTTTGACAAAATCTCAGCTGGCAACGGGCATCGCTGAATTAAAGACCGAAATTCACCAATAAATAAAAATAACTTGGGCAGGGATGTTTTTACGTGGGCGCCTTTCTATAAAATATTAAAATGTTTTTACTACTTATATGAGTGGAATAAAAATACTTTAAAAATACTCACGGGATGTCGAATAATCATTTCCTCAGAAGTCTGAAATATAAAAATAACATTGGCGTAATTAAATTATACAACAAATTACATACTTTTTAAAAAAATTGTCTAAACCAAGATAAGGTCACAAAATATTATTAATTTCGATGTTTATTTTTAATTCAAATACTAAAACTAGTGATGTCGGATTTGGCAATTGAATTAGAAATGGAATTAATGAAAAGAAAATTGATTGCGCACAAGAATCAAACCATTATACTGGACAAAGCAAGTTGAAATATTCATATATACTAATTTCCACCAAATAAGAAAATTCAATCTAACATGTAAGTCTTTTTTCTACGTATATTTTATTTCTACCTGCTGTTCCATGTAAGCCCGTACTAGTTTGAAGGTACAATCTCCTCCAAGGTATATGTGAGTGATTTTGGAATAAGGAAGTCGATGTTCGAAGGTGATGAACTCTTCATTTTCATTAAAAGATATCTAGGAGGCATAATATTTATACTCAATGCACAGGCTCTAGCACATAAATAAAACATCATTAACGTCTCATAACGTCATTCGTAGTGCTAAAATCCGGCACTGATTTTAGAATGTATATAATATAAATCACTGGTTCCCAACTTTTTATGGTTCTTGGCCTCATTCATTCCGGAGCCATTTTGGACTCATTGCCATACAACAACAACAAGACATTCTATCCAATTAAAGAGTCCAGCTGCACACTAACAAAAATGTATTTATGTAACGTTTCGTCCTACCAAAGTCAGACTTCCTCAGACAAGCAGTTTACAACAATGACAAGAAATGAGGAAGTATGACTTTGGTGGGACAAAACGTTACAGAAATACATTTGTGTTAGTGTGCAGCTGGACTCTTTAATTGGATATTTATTCCAGATACCGCATCCTTGCAGTATACGCGTACGGATCTACTAGCATAACGGCATAATGGAAAGATAGGGAGTTAATCTTGCGCAATCCAACTCAAGCAACAAGAAGAACACCAAAAACATAATAACAAAACGAACTTTAGGTCGACTTCGTGTTCAATAAAGTTTTTACACAGTTTTCTCGTACAAAAACGCATGTTCGGGCGCGCAACATCTAAAATGGCTTTGGGTAAAATAAATTGTCAATTGTAATATAACTAACCTCAAAATGATTTTCTCTACATTTAATCCATAAGTTGAATTCAAAACCATATGAAGGATGAGGAAATCCACCGTCAAATTCATCCTCCCCCCACGAATTGTTATTTTTTGTATTCCTGTAAATTTGTTGCTCAGCGAATTGAGGGTTGATGCGCAATGCTACGGTTTCTCCGCGTTCCGTTCTTGAACCACACAAGAGATTGACGTGGTAGCTGACAACATGAAAATAAATATTGACCATTGAAGACAGTGAAGCTATTTATTATTAGTCATTGTTGTATCAATAGAACTCAAATCACCATATCGTCTACTAATTGTTCATCGTGGTTACACCCGAAAGGCTAAAATTATCTTTAAGTTCTATATTGAGATGAAAGAGATGAGAAATGCAACAATGAAACAATGGCTTTCATTACCATTCAAAAGTTTAGATTTATAACAAGACAAGAATTATTTTTTTGTTTTTTAGTTACCCGCCGTCACTCCTATCTTCAGTTACTCCTTGTACTTGGATAACTTTATTGAGGTGCATTCCATTTATGTCCAACGCGGTGTAACTAGACTGAAAAACATATCTTCATTATATATTGTACTGTATTTTACACGACGTTTTTAGCTGATAAACTGTATTTTGGGGAGAATTTGCTCAAATGGGGCACGGAATCGTCTCTGCAAAAAGTCACGGTCGATCCCTAAAACCCCAATTAGTCATGTTGCCGTTTCAATAGCCTACTTAAACAATATTGAATGAAATCTTAAATACTAATTTTATGGTTACAGTCACAACAACAATATCTTACCGGATTCTCGATACTTTCCATTGCCATATTGATAATATACTTTACAATTTTTAATACAAACTTATGTAGGAATATTTTATTGTACCTGCCAACCAGAAACATCTTTATTTAAAATTGTGCTATTTAGAAATTATATAATAAGAATAAGGTTGTTTTGTAAACTATATGAGATCATCTATAATTTAACTGAGGGATAGGCAACCTGCGGCCCGTCGGCCAAATGCGCACAATAAAATTGTGGGCCCGTGGAAAAATGCCAATTTAGAATGTTGCCCGGGTCGCGAAACAAGTTTTTAATTTAATTTTGTACGTGCGTTGCAAAGCTTTTACCTGAGTCTAATTTATTACCTATACCTGTTACAATGCCCTAACAACTAACTTATGCGAAGCTTACAACACATGTCATACGTTAATAACCAAAATTTTTGTGCCTATAACTACTAGAAAGCTTATGTTCATATAGGTGTGGCCGCGGTTCCACCCATGTATTCGTATCTGGCCCTCCTGTTTTAAAAGTTGCACACTACTGGTTTAGCGTAAACTATTAAATAAATCTTTATTTTTAAAAACGCAAACTATGTGAAATAAGGCAACTGGTGCCATTCCATGCGCCATGCTCAACTTTTCACTCCAAGTACACTACGATCTACAGACCGCGAGCAATATCAAACGAGTCGATGGTGCATTCACGAGATTGACGTTTCGATAGAAGTTTTGGTTACGACGGATTGACGTATACAGAAGAAATTGAGAGGCTGAATCCTAGTCAAATCTTGTAACGTAGTCAGTTTTATAAAGCGATCCATCGAATAGCATTGCCCGGGGTGATAGCGCAAAAGGGTATAAGGGGACGAAATCATAATTTAATTTTTATATTCATTACGTTGTAAAAGAAAACGACCACGTTAAAAGCTACAACAATCAAAATAATAAAACGTACTTGACCTTGATATGGCGAATTGAGCCAAACAACTCACACTCTTATAACCGAGAAAGGAAAAATTGAGCCTATGTACCGAGGGAAACTGAATATGGGCCTTGATACAGCTTTGAATACAGTGACTTCAAGCGGGTTATCTATGTGAGTACAAGACGATATCAGATTTGTCGTTAAAATCTACAAAATTTCTTTAATATTGATATATCTGATATTTTCAATCTTGTTGTTTCATTTTGAAAGAAAAAAAAAGGCGTTTTAAAATTTTGCGATTCAAAAATTGATGATTAGATAAAGATATTACTAGTGCCGATAATATTTTATACTGATATCAATACCAAACAGAAATATTGAGTAACACGCAGATAGCTTTCAAATAATGGACTCAAGTTTATTGTGAAATACCAGTAAAGCCTTTGGTTGTTCTGCAAGTGGTGTCAAATTAGGCATCCGTCATATATATTATTAATTTTACGTATACGGTAAAAATATGATACACGTCTTTACGTTATTTACTGCTTGATTATCAAATGTCGCTGTCATCAGGGCAAAAAATATTTATAATGAAGAGGGATTTATTTTAATGAATTTGCCGTTAGCCATGGTGACAGCAAGAAATAGTCTAATTGCGTAAACATAGCGCGATGTCATCCATATATGGGTTTCAATTAAATTTGACTCCTAAACATAAACATTACTTTTCATCGCGATCATTTACGACCTTCTACTTTTCACTAGTAATAAAACTTTTAATGGCATTTCGCTGATTTATTACGTGCCTAACAAATCTATGCTTTTAGAATTTGAAATTAAATTTGATTTTAAAAATAGTTTATTGAAATCACTAATCGGCTTATGATAGTAGTAATTATATCGTGTTTCGAAACCTTCTAATATAAATAATAGTTGAAGGTAATATCTGAAAGTAATAATGAATAATATGATCCCTACGTTTGCTACGGAGTAAGGATACTCATGTAAGAATATTTCATTTAACAAAAAATATGCTTATAAAAGAGTCGATTGTTCATGAGACGCTATTTTTTGACCTTTTGGCATTTTCGGGACCATTATATCAACAAAAGAGCCATTCTCCAATGCAAAAACAATTGGTTCAGTACCTAACGGGGAAAGAGTTTTATTTGTAACAACAAAAAGCAAATACCAACAAGAACAACATCAAAATTACAAATAATAAATGAATTATTCAACCTTATATAATGCAATAAAATTTTCAAACTAAGTAGTATTTATTCTGAGCTGTATGGCCAACACGTCGATTGTACTTGAAAGAGTTTTGAAAGCGCAAAATCTTTATACATTTTCATAAAGCATTTTAATCGTCAAGATAGTCGATCTGAAATATCACAATAAATATAGACAATAAGACTTTCTAAATTACATAATATTTTTCTATTACAGTTGCTATTGTATTTTAACCGTCACAAGTAACACAATATATTAAAGTAAGAATACTGTATGTTTTGCAATTTTTGAACAATTGCATGCTATCAATATAATTATTTATTTTCATTGTCTGTTTTCATATTTCTTGATCGCAACCAATCATACACAAAAAGTCCGACCAAAAATGTAAATTTGTTACCATTTGGCCATAGTCATATAAAAAGAAAATATAGGTTGACACGTTAATTAGAATTTTAATTTTTTCTCTTGGTTGACAATCGGTTATTTCAACCTAACAATTTGGTGCAATATAATGTATACATGTAGGATTGAACAAGTCAATAAAGTTTGTAAACGTTTAACAAATTTTGGTTCTGGGATTATCCAAAGATGTAGAGTCAAATCACTGGTCGTGGAGCAATAGATGAACAAGAAGCATACTGTTTTAAAATGCATCATGCATATGCACTGATGTGTCATAAGTTCATATAAACGGATTTGGTACTCCCGTAGTATGTGAACCAAGATGGCGGACACAAAAACGTAGTATGTGTACCAGGTTATGGCTAGGCCATAATTTCAGATACAAATACTACATTTGTAGGGAGTCATTTGGCTATTCCCCAAACTCGTAATAGAACTAAAATATTGAAAATTGAAATAAAACAATGGTCTAACTCTAACAAGACACACATACTACGTTCCGGTGTTCGCCACCTTGGTGTACATACCACGGGAGCGCCATAGATTTAGTAGATTGTTGGAAAAATTACTCTAGTTAGTGCAGTTTGGCGCATATAGTACTGTGGGAGACAGATTTTTCGCAGCATCTAATCGGAATACAAATATACTATCTGGTTAAAAACAAAAACCACCAAAGAAATAAAAAGCCTAAAATGGAAGCGAGACGCAAATATCGGGAAAACTGATGCACACATATTAATAGGGTGTACACGCTTGAATTATGCTGAACTCAAACTGCGTAAATTACATTTACGATTGATAACATTTGATCTACAGGGTGATTGAAAAGTAACTCCCTATTTTAAAATAAATACAATTTATTCAAATGCTATATCATGTTTCATGTTTCTAAATTTATGTGTATATATTACTTAATATATGGCAATTTAATTTATGTTCTTGTTTTCCTTTCAGATTTGTTTAAATATTGTTCAATTTCAATCTTTTCAAATTTATTTTATTTCAAAACCCTACAAAAATGGCTGGACGTCTTACTCTACAGGAACGTGCCCAGATAGCCGCGCGTTATGAAGTTTGGGGATGCATTGTTCAAGTGCAAAGATGGTGGAGAACTATTAAGGGAAAACATGCCCAAATTGACCCGAAGACGATCAAGAATTGTCATAAAAAACTTATGACCACAGGATCTGTGGCTGATACTCAAAGAAGCGGTCGTCCTTCCAAATCCAGAGATCCTGAGGTAGTGAGTAGAGAAAGTGGGCTCTCCTTTCATTGTGTACGTAATGTGCTAAAAAACGAGCTTAAATAGCGTGCTTGGAAGCCGCATTACTGTCAAGCACTCTCTGCAGAAGACTTTGACATTCGTATGGAGTTTGGTGAAATAATGTTGGCTTGGTTTAGAGATTGGCCCAACCTTTTTAAAAATATTCTATGGAGTGATGAAGCTGTATTCCACATAGGTGGATTTGTGAACCGTCATAACTGCCACTACTGGGCGGAAGAAGATCCTCGTGTTACCTGTGAAAAAATGCAAAATCGATCCAAAGTAACGGTATGGTGTGGAATTACTTTTGATAGGATTGTGGGTCCCTTCATTCTTCGCGATACCATGAATGCCGAAAGGTACCTCGCTATGTTGAAAGATGAAATTTGGCCAATTATCAGTGCTTGGGAAAATATTGAAGATTTGATTTTCATGCAAGATGGAGCTCCTCCACACTTTGCTATTGTTGTTCGTGAATGGCTAAATGCTCAATTTCCTGGAAGATGGATGGGTCGTCGCGGTTCGCACGAATGGCCTGCCAGAAGTCCTGACTTAACACCCTGCGACTTTTTTCTCTGGGGTTGGCTGAAAGAGGAAGTCTACTCAACCAAACCAAGAAATTTGGAAGAACTTGAGGGGCGAATACGTGAAGTTATGACTTCCATCCCGCAAGAGTTTCTTGCGAAATCAGTTGATGCGATTCCTGGTCGACTTGAGAAGCTGGTGGCAAATAAAGGCGCCCATATTGAATTTTAAATAAAAGCCCATGCATTATACTTCCTTCTCATATTCATTAATTGTAGAAATTATATTTTAAAAATAAACTATAGTTTTTTTAAAATAGGGAGTTACTTTTCAATAAGCCCATGCATTATACTTCCTTCTCATATTCATTAATTGTAGAAATTATATTTTAAAAATAAACTATAGTTTTTTTAAAATAGGGAGTTACCTTTCAATCACCCTGTATATATTGCATTGCAGTTAAGTTGTCATAAAATAGTGTCATATTTCAAGAAGTGACACACAAACGTATTTTCGGTTGGGAAATATTAATTAAGGTATGCGAAATGAAAGTATGCACTTAAAACACTTTTTAATATATTTATGACACAAAATCCAAATTTTGCGTTTCGAATCAAGTCACGTTGCTTTTGATAAAGCATTTGATTAAACAAATATATATGGAGTTGTTAGCGTTAGGTACAGGCCTAACGCACATAGTCGGGAGTCAAATCCGACCCAGTCAAGTCTCCAAAAGCAGGTAGGTATTTTCATGAATCTTGAAGTTTGTCATAAATTTCTCACCTTAAAGACCTTAAAATCATTTCAGCAAAACACTCAA